GCAGGGCGGGCCTGGTTTCCACCACCACCACCACCACCAGAAGTTGAGGGGGAGGAGGAGGAGGAGGAGGAGGAGGAGGAGGAGGAGGAGGAGGAGGAGGAGGAGGAGGAGGAGGAGAAGGAGGAGGAGGAGGAGGAGGAGCAGGAGGACCCCCTCCCCCTCCAACGTAATTATGATGGTGGTGGTGGTGGTGGTGGTGGTGGTGGTGGTGGTGGTGGTGGTGGTGGTGGTGGTGGTGGTGGTGACCTTGCGCGGTGGCTTGCGCGGGCCGCCAACGCGGCACGCTACATTGGAGACGAGGGCGCTTACGCACCACCTTGCGCCGGCAGCTTAAGTGCCAATCAATGTCGGCACAGACGACCCCGTTGTGTTGCGTCGCTCATGTGGCGCCGGGCCGCAGCTACGATTCGCGCCTGCTTGCCGGCGCACGCTCTTTGGGGGGGACCGCCTGCTGTGGGCGGAGGCGTCGCCCGCGTGGGGGGGGCGTGGGTGGGAGGCCGCGTGGTGGTTCTTCGTCGAAGGGAGAAATCCCCAAGGAAAGGGACCAGACCTCAGGGGAGCCACGGTGTGGAAACAAAAGCGACGTCGGACGTCTTGGGAAGGCAAAGGAGGGTGCGGAAACTCCAGGGAGGTCACCGCAAGGACGGCGAAGAACTCCTGAGCCCGATGAGAGGGCCAATGAACCAGATTTGCCAAGACCCAGTCCAAACATTCAGCCCGACATCACCAGACTCAAGCGGAATTTTACGGGATTGCGTCGGTTTGGGCCGGCTGGCTTTGGAGGCGTGCGAAGGGTGACTTGGATCACCGCGGGAGGTGCTACCGTGCTAGGGGGGCTTTGAACGGATGCGGAGGTGGAACAAAAATGGCCTGACCTGGCTTATCAGTGGGTTGCACATTCACATTCCCTAAGTTGCTTGCGGATTTAGATATTTATGCCAAGTGGGATCCGCCCACTTAGCCAGCAGATGGTCCAACAAATTACCACCTATGGCACCTGAAACTAACTTATTAGCTAAGCCAATACATGTATACCCCACTTTAAAATAATATTACACTCCTCTGACCTACTTCGCCACCACAGCAATGATCCGAGGAGGAGAAAAAGGAGGGGGGGAGTGGTTAAAGGCCTTGACCTTCTGCTGTCCTTCGTCTCGCGCAGAAGCGTCCACGAACTGCTCCAGATCGCCCTGGACATCTCCAGATCTACCTCGACCGATCTGGATTTACACCGATTTGCCTGGATTTATCTCGATCTGCCTGTCCTGATTCCCATAAGTCGATTGGAGAGAAGTTGCCAGGCCCTTGGGGAGGAAGGGGGGGAAGGAGATACTGCTGTCTTGCTGCTAGAGCCAGCTCCAGAACGCCATGCCTCGGCGGGTCGACGGTTGGTAGGGAGGAGGGGAGGCCCCTCTCAACTCCTCTGCCTCCTCCCCGGCCTCCTCCTCTCCTTCGTCCTCCTCTCCTTTCCTCCCCTTCCTCCTCCCACTCGATCCTCTGTCTTTTCCTCCTCTCCTCCCTGTCCTTCCTCCTCCTCCTCCTTCTCCTCCTCCTTCTCCTCCTCCTTCTCCTCCTCCTTCCCCTCCTCCTTCTCCTCCTCCCACTGCCTCCTCGTCTCCTCTGCCTCTCCTTCTCTGCCCCAGCCCCCAACCATGGCTCCTCTGGGGGTGAGTCGTGTTGCCCAGTCACGGGCAGGCTGGGCCACCGAGGAGGTGATGCAGGACCGGATGCCTGGGGGGGGAACTGGGAGGGGTGCCAGGCCCTAAGGCTGGAACAAGAGAAGGCCCCAGCTTAGGTACGCCTTGTCGTAGTCGCCGGCGCACGTGACGCTGGGATCGCCGGCAGATCGCTGGAAGCCGCCCACCTCGACGTAGATGGCTCGCGGGAGCCCCAGGAGGATCGGGTACTCCGGCGCTCCGTAGGCCGTGCCCGGCGGGCTCTCGCCGGCCCCCAGCTCGCCGCTGCAGCTCTCGCACGCGAGGGGCCGCTGGCCGCCGCAGGCCGACTCCGCCCGGGGCGGCGACTCGCAAGGCCACGTCGCGGTGCTTCACCGGGGCGTCGCCGCTGCTGGCCATCCCGCCGATCGGGGTGCCCTCCGCCAGGCGCTGGTCGGCCCCTGAGTCGGGCCCGGCACATCGGCCCACGCCGGCGACGTGCGCGCACATCTGCATCGCGCAGGCATCCACCGCCAGCTCCGAGGCGGCGGCGGGAACGCCCGCCGAGACAGCGAAGAGAACGGTGGCGCGAAACGCCGTGGTGGTGGGATTGCGGTTTACGTACTGTGCAATCGCCACGCATCTACCAGCTGGGCCAGCTTTTTCAAAAGCTTGAGCCAAAATGGCTACTGGCCGGCTAGGGGTCAGAATTTGAAGAATGTCTGCAACCAGCTGAACGACAGCGGGGGTGTCCGATACACCAGTGTCGATTGGACCCGCAGGAGTATGGCTCGCAAGAGGTCGAAGACTGCAACGCCGACCCTTGTTTACCACGTGCGGCCCCGGAATTCTCAATGGGCTGGTGCGTCCTGGGCCATTTTGTGTGGGGCCAGAACGGGCCTTTGCAGGGTCCAAACTCAAAAGCAAATGTAAGGGAACCGGCTTGGTATGTCTCGCGACGCTGGGACGTCTGCCATTCTCCTTGCTGATTGCACCTTGTAACCATCCCCCCTCACCCAGAATGTGGTCCCCGCGTCGAGGACGATATTGATGACGACAACGACAACAAGATGTACATATATATATGTATATATAGACATAAAAATTCAACTGTTTATGTATACACCACCGCTGGAGACAACAATGACGACGCCGACGCCGACGCCGACGCCGACGGCGGCCAAGACATCGACGACGACACAGACGACGAAGACATCGACGACGCAGTCGATAACGACATCGACAAATGCGACGACGTCTCACCGCGACGGCGACCACGACAACGACGACAACCGCCGACTGACGACGACGCATATGAGTGACACGTTTCCCAGAAAGGGACGCCAGAGAAAGGGGCTCCTGAGACCGCGGCGTTGCGTCTGAAACCTGGAAAAGTGCGAGCGAAAGCGTCCTGCGACGGCCTTGCGGGCGAAGCCGACCGGACTTGAGACATCGGCATCGCCCGTCTCAAAAGTCCCTTTCCCTGGGGCCCCTTTTGGAACGACATGACATGATGCCCTGCCAGCGACCTCGCGCTGGGCGCGCCGCCGGCATCGGCCGCCTTGGTGGGGGTCGCCGCCTCGGGCTCCTCCTTCGGCGGCGCGCGCGCCAGGGCCCAGGAGCGAGGCGGGGACTCCTCCACGACCACTGCCGCCGGGATCGCTATTCGGGAGCCTCGGCAGGCAGTGGACATGTACTCCAAATCCCATATTGATCGACCCCCCCGAAAAACCGGAGCCCTCTCCAAATGCGACCTAATATTCCAGACCTTCGACGGGGCGCCTTAATAAACCGGACCCCTAAGCTCCAATCCAAAGAAAGCGCCCTAATAAACCGGACCCCCCCAGCTACAAAAAAGGCGCGGACCCGGGGGACCATTAAGAAGGGATTTGGAGTGCATTGTAATGGATATACTGTTTGGCCCCCCGAGGGCCCGATCAGATCCACGTCCACCGCCTGACGTCCCGGGGATCGATCGTAAGATCGATCCCCGGGGGATGATGACGGAGTACACCAGGGAAAAATCCAAATCAGGGGATGGTTTGAAATGGGATCGATAAAGAGATGGATAAGGAGATCGACCGGGAACCCGGGAACCCAGAACCCACCGAAATCGGACCGGAACCCATGGGAACCCAGAACCAGGAACCCGGGAAACCAGCCAGCCACCAAAATCGGCGGGACACTCTCGCCACAGCTCTCAATTTCCGCTGGGACCCCTTCGGTGCAAGCACTGCTTGGGGTATAAATCTCAGCCTCGGACCAGGAGCGCGCAAGGATCGAGGGCGGAGGGTCCAGGATCGACGAGCGATGGCCGACGCCGGAGGCCGAGCGCGCCAGGGCGGAGGGGGCCCGAGGGTTCGAGGCCAGCCAGGAGAAGTCAACAGAAACACAGCCTCTCAGAGGTACACGCGGGACCGTCCCGTGTGCGTGTGCAGTTGTACGCGCTTCTTCGAGCAAAGGGCGGGCATGACGTCTTACTGCGATTGGCTCCAGATAGAAAGTACGTTCCAGGAGCACGTTCCAGGAGCGAGGAGGAACCAACACAAACATAGCCTTTCGGAGGTGCGCGCGGGGCCGTCCCGTACCGTCGGGGGGTGGACCTAAGGAGACCTAAATAAGGCACGAGGCCCTTTTGTTCCATAAGATAAACTTCGAGTCCCCATGGAAAGCCTCAGGAACACATGGGGCAAACTGCAAAAAAAAACAATCAAAGAACACCAAGCCCCTCCCCCACGCAAAGGGTTCCTTCTTCACCGCCCCAACTGTATGTACGTGCGGTTGTACGCACTTCTTCGAGTAAAGGGCGGGCATGACGTCTTAATGCGATGGGCTCCAGATAGACAGTACGTTCCAGAAGTAATCAAGCATCTGGCGGCCCTTGTTTCTGTTGCCCGCATGGAGCAGCAAGAGATCGGACAAAAATGCCTGCACGTCCTGGGAATATTGGAACGCCGTGTCATGAGCTCTGGCCCCTCTGAGAACACGAGAGTGGAAAGGGTTGGAGGCGGCCAGGGGGTCTGACTTGGATGGACCTCGGAAGGGGGGATAAATCCAAATCCAAAGTGTGTCAAGAGGGGGCATAAATCCAAATCCCCTCAAAATTGGTCCCCGGACCCCTCCCAGGGTCCATCAGGTGCAATCGTTTCACCCAACAAACAGCTTTCGACGGTGCCGGGGCCGAGACCCGGAGGCCGAAAAAGAGAAAAGACGCTTCGAACCCAAGACCTCGAGAGTCGCCCCCTCTTCCCACTGCTGGCTGGAGCCAGTGCAGGTCCACCTCAGACCCCCAGCCGAGTCCAAGGAAGGAGGATATCGCTGCTCTTTCCCGCTCGCGGAGCAGCGCTAGTTTTTGAGCACGAGGCCCCGCATGGCAGACCAGGCAAGCCGCGGCGCGCTCAGCAGGGTCAGCTCGGCAGCGGGCGGCACTTGCACCGCCTCCTGGGGCAATGCCAAGGCGGAGTCACCACCAGCCGAATCACAGCGGTTGGTGCTAAGGGGAAAAGGGGGGCTATAAGTGGATGCCAAGGTGGCTCATGTATGGCCTAACATAGCATAGAAATGGATTAGACGTTCTCCCTAGGTGCCTTAAGGTGGTAATGTTACGGGCGAAGTGGGCTCTGCCCATTTAGCGGAGTGATCGAAGTAGGATCGGTCAGGTATAACTCACCTTAGCATCCACTGAAAGACACCTATCCACTTAACACCCCCCGCGGTGATCCAAGTAGGATAGAGCGCAACTCCTGCAAGGTCTTCGTAAGAACGACCACACGTGACTAAGCCTGGTTCAGAATCCATTGAACCCGACCCGGCCAGATTTAGTCGTGGATGGAAGCGATTCTGGCAGCATTAAGCCAAATTGAGCGGGACTAAGCCAGAATAGGCCGGTTTTCGACCAAGGATCTACCAGCGCCGATGCTGAATTTGACCTCCCAGGAGTTGCACCCTAATCGGGGGGGGGGCCTCAACTCTTTGGAAGAAGCGCCGCCCTTCCTCGAGGTGGGCCCTCAATAATGCACACTCCAGGGCCCTCCGAACAGACTCTGGACGTCCAGAGACCTCCTCGAGCATCGATCCTGGAACATTGATTATTTCCAGGAGGGACTGGTGGCCCCCCTACCGGTGACCCCCGTTTGCGCCCTCACCTGGAGGCCTCCCGAATGGGGTCCGTGTAGGTAGGAACAGAGGACCGCGCGAATCTTCGATGCATCGGCGATGTCGAATCGGCGCCGCTGTCGTGGAGGTGGTCGGGTTCCGTATCCGCGGCAGCGGCGGTGCATTGGCGATGCTGCGCGATCCTCCGGTCCCTTCTACTGGGACTCCATTAAGAAGGTCTAGAACGTTGCTCCCTGGCTTTTGGATCATTTCCCTGCTCGCTGGCGGCCGTTCGGAAGGATCTGGGCACCCCAGGAACGCCCTCGGCGAGGCGCAGCTGCTGGAGAGCAACCCGAGGCTGGACAACCGCCTGGAGCCGACGAAAACACCGAACAGCTCGGACCTCGAACCTCGACCTCGTACCTGGGACACTATTTGGGAGGCTTGGAGCACCGACTCCTCCGGGGACAGCACCTTCAGGCCAGGGGGTCGCTCTCCGGCCAGCAGCGCGGCGCCGTCGTCGACGCCGCGGCCGATGAGCTCGAGCACGTCGGCAGGCCTGGCCGAGGCGGGCAGGTGGTGCAGCGCGGCTGATGCCAGATCCCCTCGCGTCGCGAAGAAGCACACAGGAGGAACGCCACTGGAGGCCTCCCACATGGGGTCCGGCGTACATTGGGTTGGGGGATCGAGCCGCATCGCCCATGCGTCGCCGATACATCGCCGATACATCGGCGACGTGGGCGATGCATCGCTGCCGTCGACGTGAAGAAAATCGGGCTCCACATCGATCCTCCGACCCCATCTACTCTGGCCCCATTAGGGAGGCCTGGAGTCGAGCATATTCCGTAAGTGTTTATACCCCGCGGGGTAGCGGCCACCCCGCGCCGTGTGCCAACCCCCGGCAGGACCTATAGGCCATCGGCGCCTGGGTGGGGGCGTTGTCTCTCAGAACTTGGCCCTGCGGAGCAGGTCGCAGCCCAGAGGGGAAGAGGAGGGCGGTCTGGGCTGGTGACCTGCGGGTACCATTACAGTCCTCTGCAGGGCGGCGCCTCTGCGAGCTGCTACTCGAAGCCGAGCTCGTGCCAACCACGACGGAGGAGGAGGCGGAGGAGGAAATTTTCAAATGGTTTCGTAGGTGCCTGGAGATTCTTAAGCATCTGGGCCTCCTCGAGGGCGTTCCAGGGGTGCCCCGACCGTCCCGAACGGCCACCGCTGAGCCGAGCTCGAGCCCGAAAGCCAACGGAAGAATCACGACGGAGGGTTTTTGCTTATTTTCTGCCTCTGGTGGCCCTCCAAGTCCCCAGGAACGTCAAGAAACAGCCCCAGATGAAAAGCCGGTTCCAGGGAAAGGATCGAGACCTCGGGGTGCCAAAATTGCGTCAGACATCTCGACGTCGTGTGTCAGGGCGGTGCGATACGACAGTGCACCAGGAAACTGGCAGCACACATGGCTGCATTCAGGTGTGGAGTATCCAGAGGTCACGCACTGGATACACACGCGGAGGCCAGGCCTACACGATCATAGAACGGCCGAACGCCGAAGCGACATCGGGCCACCTGTGTAGCCAGCTATTGCCCGGACTGGCCGCGTCAATGTATCCCTGGAAATTGGATCTTGTCATCATGTTAATCGGTGTGATCTCGCACTGCAGTATTTCGACCGACCGTGCCTGGGTGTGCTGGGTTGTGTCGGTGTACTGCCTCGGTGTGCTGGGCCCCGTGTGCTGGGATCGGTGCCATGAGATGTGTCGGACGTGCTGGGAGGTGCGCTGGGAGCTGGGATGCATGCTGTGATGCGTTGGAGCGCGTGCTGGCCGTGGCCCCCCTGGGTGTGCCGGGAGGTCTGCCTGCATGTGTCGGTGTGCGCTTTGGGGCCACTTGGGGTGCTGGGATGTGTGGGTGTTGGCCCCCCCCGCCCCTGCCCCACTATTCCGACCGACCTTGCCCCCCCCATCTCCCCCCGTGGGCCCCCTCCTTTTCTTCCGACCGACCGTGCTCCCCCCACCCGTTGACCGACCGTGGCCTCCCCCATTCCCGACCGTGCCCCCCCTCCGTGCCCGACTGACCGTGGCCTCCCGCTCCCCCCCCCCGCGCCCCTCCCTTTATTTCGACCGACCGTGCCCCCCATCCCCCCCTCTCTCCCCCCGTCGACCCCGCCCTCCCCCCCTTATTCCGACCGGCCGTGCCCCCCCCCGCTGCACGACCTTGCCCCCTCGTTCCCTCTCCCCACCCCCGCCCCCCTCTCCACATTCCGACCGACCGTGCCCCCCCTCGCCCCCGAAGGCCTCGACCGACTGTGCCCCCCGCTGCTCGACAGTGGCCCCCCGCTCCCCTTCCGTTGCCGCCCTCCCCTTCGCCCTCCCCGCCCCCCTTCCCTGATTCCGACCGGCCGCGCCTTTCCCCTCATTCTTCTCCCGTGGCCCCTTCATCTTCTCCGACCGTCCGTGCCCACCTCCCCGCTTCCCCACCGTGGCCTCCCGGTCCCCTCCCCCCTCACATGACCGCCCCCCCCTCCCCCCCGTGGCCCTCCCCCCAGTTATACCGACCGACCACGTTCCTGCCCCTCACATGACCGCCCCCCCCTCCCCCCCGTGGCCCTCCCCCCAGTTATACCGACCGACCATGTTCCTGCCCCCCCCCGCTGTCCGACTGACGCCCCCCGCTCCCCCCCCCGCCCCTGTCCCCTCCTTCCGACCGATCGTGCCCCCCCCCCTACTCCCGTGGCCCGCCTCCCCCCTTTCTTCCGACCGACCGTGCCCCCCCCTCCCTGCCCGACCGACCGTGGCCCCCCGCCCCCCCCCCCCCCGCTCCCCGCGAACCCCTTCCGCCCGTCCTTTTCCTTATTCCAACCGTCCGCGCCCCTCCCCCCCTCACCCCCGTGCCCCCCTCCATTAATCTCGACCGGCCGTGCACCCCCCCCGCTGCCAGACCGTGCCCCCCCGCCAAGACGGCCCCGAGAGGCTCTCAAAACAGCCCCGGGACAGCCGAAGCTTTTTAAGACGCACGAAGACAGCCCAAAAGAGCCCCAGAACGACCCAAAAGGGCGCCAGTAATGTTCAAGAAGGCTCCAAGAGGACCCCCAAGACGCCCCAGAGACGCCAAACAACAACGACTCCGAAAAGCGCGCAGTGCCCAAGCGCTTCGTTCCATACCGGGGTCGGTATTAGAAAACACGCAATTGAAACCTCGCAAACATCTCCCGTCATATTGGGATCGCCTTCGTGTCGAAACCGTGAGCTGCACTCACACACCCAATGCTGCAATTCGCCGCCCCTTCGTTATAATCACTCGCTGGCCTGTCGCAACACTCGCGCACTTCTTCAAAACCACCAGAACTTTGCGCCGTCGCCACCCCCCAGTGTCCTGCATCCGTTATTGCATGGTCCTTGGCACGCGTGCTTCTTACTCAACATGAAATATGTGTGTGTGTGTGCAGCCTGCGCCCGAACTGGAAACGGACAGACATGTCGCAGAAGCCAGAGACTCCAAATTACACCGACTCGCTAGCCACACCGTTTGCCCGCCCTGGACCTTAGGTAGATGCCGCGGCAGCGGCCGCGGGGGCGCCGCTCCTGGAAAAGCGCAAAGCCCATCAACGCAAACTGTCGGAGTTCCACGCGGATCTCTGCTCTGCGCTGGAATCCCTCCCTGGCGCGCGCATCATAGAAGGGGTGGCCTCGGAGATTCCGCCTGGGGGGAGTCCAGCGCAGATCCAACCTCTGGAAGTCTACATTACGTTTGCGACCATCAGGAACGCCGAATGATGAACGAAGAGCGTCTGGCCATGGCGAGCATCGGCCACGAATAGGGCTCGACGACCTGGAACGGAGGAACGGGCCGAACACCGAAGCCCCTGGTGGGCTCAAGGCAGTCCTTATTTCAGCGTCTTTCCTGTACGTACCTGAGACGGCGGGCTGAGACAACGGCAACACAAAACATCGGTCCCCAGAGCTGCGTCCAGCCGTGGCGACGAGGGCCAACCCCGAAGGCACCTTATCGCTGTCTAAGCTCGCCCTCCTTCCGAGGACAACAGACGCTCAGGAACCGGGACGCGTGCCCCCCTTAAGCACAACAAGTCTTGAACCACCCGCTACAATGGGCAAACAATTGCTTGGGCCAGGGGCTTATTGAGGGTCGTCGACGCCCGGTAATGACGTGCAAATTAGTATTTCGCCGCCGCCGCCGTCATCTTTATCGTCAGCGCCGCCGCCGTCGTCGTCGTCGTCGTTGTCGCCGTCGTCCGCCTAACCATTGCACGGGAAACGTGCAGAAGTGTAGGTAGAGGTACGGGTAAGGTTCGTCTCGACGGGAGGAGTACGGACTTGCACTAGAAACCTTGTGCGATCAGGCACGGGATATCGCTGACTCGTGCAGGGTAACCGAGGGGATGCTATCCGCCTGGGCAAACAACCACCAAATAACATCCAGCACGGCGAACAATAGTGGGAGCACAATTCCTGGGGTGGGAGGATGGGGGAGAGCAAGAGGAGGAAGAGAAGCAGGAGTAAGAGGAGGAAGAGGAGAAGAGGAGAAGGGGGAGGAGAATAGCGAGTCAGAGCGAGAGAGAGAGAAAGAGCGGAGGATGAGGAGAAGGGGAGGAAGAGAAGAAAGAGGAGCGGATGAAGAGGAGGAGGAGGAGGAGAAAGAGGAATACGAGGAAGAGGAGGAAGGGGAGGAGGAGGAAAACAAACATAACTTCAGGTCGAACCTGGGACGCGCAGAGTCTATGATTGCCAGGCAAGAGATTTGAGGAGGGCGGCGACATAACAAAGACCTCATGCGCTTACGCTGCCCTGTCGGTTTTCGGGTCATACCTTGGCTCTCCAGCGACCGTTCGAGATGATCAGGGCACCCCTAGAACGCTTTCAGCGAGACGCAGATGTTGGAGAGCACCCCGAGGCTGTCAAACCGCCGAGGACCGACGAAGACGCGTGAAAAACTCGAGCGTCGAATCTGCTTCGAGGCGGATCCAGCAGTTGCGACGCGGACGCTCCAGGCATCCCATGGAGGGACGACAAACGCTTAAGAGCCTCGAACCTCTGAGTTTCCTTTTTGGACCAGAAAACGAACGACACCACCCCACCTACGGCCCCATGGGCCTCAACATCTACCATGTGAAATCTGGCTTGGGCTTGCGCGTGGTATACGCCACGGCGGCCGATGGGCCGCAGCGCCACGTGGAGGGCCATAGGTGGGGTGGCGTCGTCTGTGTTTAGGTCGACGTTTGCCCCCCTCGGGCTCCAGGAAATCGTACCTGATCACCAGCTGCGGGCGCCTTTGTGGCGCGCGCAAGGGGGTAGGGGGAGGGGGGAAGGCTTCTTAGAAGGCGGCTGCCTCTGAGAAGGAGCCAGCCGCCCTTCTAAGAAGCCAGGGGCGCACCGCTTCTTAGAAGCACCCCTGCAGCTCCTTTCTAAGCACAGAGCTGCTTCTTAGAAGCAGCAAGCCACTTAGAAGGACGCCAGGAACAGCTTCTAAGAAGCAAGCAGAAGCTTCTTCGGGATGGCGCCCGTGCCTTCTAAGAAGGGGGGCGCTTCTAAGAAGCCTTCCCTCCTCCCCCTACCCCCCTCTGCACGTGGCCGACGCCTGCCATCCCGGAAGTGCGGCACGCCGTTGGTGAGGCCGCCGTCCAGCCAGCGCGAGCCCCGCCAGGCGGCCCACGGGCCTCGGCAGGTCAGCCAGGGCACGGCAGCGCTGGCCACCAGCGCCTCCCAAGCCACGGCAAGGGTGACGAACGAACAACACTCGCTCAATCCTACTAGGGAGGAGGAAGGGGGGAAGGGCAGGGGGATGAAGGCGCCACCGCTATGGGTGCGAGATGTCCGACCCCGAGAAGGGCTCCCTTGTCTTTGAATTCAACAACCAGTTTCTTGAATTCCCCAAAAAGTGTTGGGTATTCAAAAACCCGACAACACACACCCACCTGGCCCGCCTCCCCTGGGACTCCACTCGGAGAGCTCCGGGAGTCGCATAGGCACGGGTGCTGGTGGTCGGCTCACGCAAGGAGGGCCACCACGAGGGTGGCCGCCACCTCCTGGCAGAGGACACCTCCGACGTGACGTGGCTCTCCTAAACTTCTGGCGTGCTTCCTTGAGTTCGGCCTCTGGGACTCGAGTCCCGGCGCCCGGGGCCATTGAACACGGATCCAGGGCGAAAAGCTTGCCCAGGGGAAGGGGTCATGGCCTCTGGAGGCCCGCATTGAGGCAATCATATCGTCGGATGTCTGGAGGGCGGTCCCGCAAGGTCCCCCGAGCACCCCCGCCAGGCCGCCAGAAACCTTCGAGAACGTCCAACAAAAAGCCTTGGCCCTCTCGAACCTCGATCCGTAGGAGGAGCAGGCAGCCATCCTGGTGGCCCTTTGACACTGCCCGAGCCTCTCCGAGCGCCTCCTTGCTCTCGAACGTGGAGACGAGCCTTCAGGGGGAAGGGTGGGGGGGGGGCATGGCTCAGGGGGGGAACATCGACCTGGAATCGTCGGTACATCGCCGCTAGATCGGCGATAGTAGAGGCCTCCCAAATGGGTTCCGAGTGAATTGGGTCGGAGCAGCGCTGACGCATCGCCGATCGCCAATGAACGCATCGACGATGCATCGGCGATGCGTAGTCGACGTCGGCGATACATCGGCGACGTCGACGTGGAGAAGATCAAGCTCCACATCGAGCGTTATTGGCAACGCATCATCGCGATCCCCCGACCCCATCCACTTGGACCCCATCTGGGAGGCCTGGAGATGGGCCATCGACAGTGAAGCCCAACGTTCCCTGGCGGGGTGTGCTGTCGAGCCCCTGCTTGCGATTAGTGGGCGAGCGGGGGTCGACGTGTCCTCCCTGATCCCCTCCCCGTCCCCGATACCTCTCGGGCCCGGCGGCCGTTCGGGACCATCCTGGGCACCCCCGGAACGCTCTCGGCGAGGCGCAGCTGCTGGAGAGCATCCCGAGGCTGCGGCACCAGCCAGAGAATCGACGAAGGCGCCCGGAAACATCAAGCCTCGAGCCCTGACGCTGCCCCTGCAGCCTGTTGACGCCGCGGGGGGGCAGCGGGGACACGAGCTCCGTCATGCTCACCGCCAGGGAGCCCTCCGCGGGCACGGGGGCCCGAAGGGCGCAGCGCCGGCAGAAGAAGTCCCACATGGGGCCGGGCCTTCCGGGCTCCAAAGAGAGGGGGGGGAGGGGGGGGGGTCCCTGAGAAATGCGGCCCCCCGACGACCCTCGACAAGCTTGACCTCTGAGGACAGCACAGCCCGCCCCCCCCCCGCGCCAGGAGCCCCAGTGTTGACCTGGTGATGCAGGGGGTCCTGGCCGTGTGTGTGTGTGGGTGTTGTTTGAGGTTCTTGGGGGCCCAAATAACCAGCCTCACCTCCAGCCAGGACCCCCTGTTTCACCAGGCCGTGGGTGGGGGTCCTGGCTGGGGGTGGGGTTGGGCTGTCTTATCCTCAACCTCAGGAAGATGTGGACGCGCCGCTCGATGTCGCACCCTCTCGCCCCTTCCATGTCGCGCACTCTCGAATGTGTCAAAGCGGGCCGCAACGCGGTCTGGGCCAGGCGCGACTCGGAAGTTCCTCCATGGCCGACACTGGAGTGGGTGCCAACAAGTACTTTCCAGGTTGCTCTTGACGAGGGTCGTCGGGCGAGGGGGCCCTGAACAGTCTGGACTAAGCCCGCACGTAAGCCCGTTCCTCCCCCGTCCTCGAGGCCCCAGCCCTCCGGGCCCGATCCTCGAACCCCGGGAGGCCTCATCCAGGGGTACTTCTCCAGCGTGCAGGCCACAGCCATGCCAAACCTCGGACGAACACAAATCGCACGAGCATGCCATTCTGAAGAGAACAGTCATCGTCTTGGGAGGAACGGGGTCGGAAGGATCAGGGGCATGAGCGCATCCAGATGCAATGCACGATACCTTCGACCGCATATGGGTAATGACATCCTCATGCCCCCCAGCCCCGCCCAGTGCAACCCGATAACTGCCTTCCTGGCCTCCGCGAGGTCCGCGCGGATCTTTCGCATCGGCGCCCGAGGCCCTCCCGGCAGCGCCCCTGGCGCCGCCCGCTTCCGCGCGCCGAGGGCAGAGGGCCCAGCGCCCATCCAAGAAATCCGCGCGGACCTCCGAGCGCCAACGTTGACAGCAGGAGCTCGACCACAAGAAACCTTCCACAAGCAACCCAACCCTGAGACCCCAGGACTTCCAGTGATTTTTGGTGTGGGAGCGTCACGCTTTCCATGGCAAAAGCATCGAAAGCCAAGGAACCCAGGCACCCTGGAGGCAAGCAGGGGGTGTTTCTTGGCATGGGCCTCCACTGTATTTGAGTAGAAACCGGCCGCCCAGGCATTCCTATAGGCCTGCCACGAAATCTTCTTAGAACCCCAAAATGTTCCAATAACGAAAGCAATGTTCTTAGAACATAAACGCGATGTGCTAGAACAAGACAGCCCCACCCAGAAATGTTATGATAACATCTTGTGCAGACCACAAAGGGTTCTTAGAACATTCTTTGGTGGGCCTATAGGCGAGCCAAGAAGCTTTGCGACTGCTTGATGTGTGCCGCCATCCCCCCCGAGCCGCTTGTCTGCCAGGCTTCCGTGTATTCTCCGTCGGACGCCCGGCGAAGGAGGCCTGGGCCTGCACGGTTTCCCCCCGGGCCTTTGGCGACCCGAGGAGGAGGAGGAGGAGGAGGAGGAGGAGGAGGAGGAGGAGGAGGAGGAGGAGGAGGAGGAGGAGGAGGAGGAGGAGGAGGAGGAGGAGGGGGAGGGGAGGGAGGGGAGGAGGGGGGAGGGGAGGAGGGGGAGGAGGAGGAGGAGGGGGAGGAGGAGGAGGAGGAGGAGGAGGAGGAGGAGGAGGAGGAGAAGGAGGAGGAGGAGGAGGAGGAGGAGGACGAGGGGGAGATGGAGTAGGGTGAGGGGGAAGAGAACGGGTCGCCTAATTAAGCCCTTCGGAAAAAAAAACCTCCACCCGGGCCCCCCGAAACTCGGTGGCCCCTCGTGGCCCTCTGCTCGCGGCTCCCGTGGCTTGAGCTGTTTAGACAGAGGCCTCCCGGAGGGGGTCCGAGTACAGTCGAGGCGTTGAAATAGGGAACCCTAAACAAGGAACGAGGCCCCTCTTTTCCATAGGTTAAGCTTCGATTCGCGTGGAAGACCCCATGAAGACCTCAGGCAGGCTGTGAAGCAATGAAGGAACACCGAGCCCCCCCCAACGAAAAGGGTTCCTTCTTCAGCGCCCCGACTGTAACTGGGGTCCGACGGTCGAGCCGCATCGCCGAGACATCGCCGAAGCATCGCCGATGCATCGGCGATGCGGCGACGTCGGCGATACATCGGCGACGTCGGCGTGGTAAACGTCGGGCTCCACATCGAACCGCATCGCCAGCGCGGCGGGATCCTCCGACACCATGAGGCCTGAAAGGAATGACAGCTTTTCAAAACCTTCTGCCGCAAGGGGTGGAGAGTCGTGATCCTTCCTTCGAGAACCGCACGGACGCGTCGAACTGCCCGGTCGTCATCACGAACCCCGCGAGAGCCCCGGCGTTGGCCCCGGCGGCCCGCTGGACGGAGGCGTCTCCGTGGCCGAGCGCCAGCAGAACGCCGCAGGCGTAGCTGGTCGGAGGCGGGCCGGCCGGCCAAAATCCGACCAGAATCGGTCCGTGGACCCCCGGCTCGGTGGCGGGATGGGCCGAAAGCCACCACGTATGTAGGCACCCAGACATGATGGCGTCGTAAAAAAATCAGGACGGGAGGTTTTTCGCTATTTTCGACCCCTGGGGGCCCTCGCCGGGCCTCGGGACCGTCAAAAAACGACTCAGGACGAAAAACCGGCCCCAGGGAAAGGGTCTAGATTTCCAGGGGCGCCGTCCTGAAAAAATCAGGACGTGGCATGTCTGGGCAGCTTGCCTCAGAACGCCCGAATCCCCAACACCTTGCATCCCTTGGGCGGCCGACTTCCGCCTCGGCCGGCTTCCGCTGGCCTTCCACCGCTGCCTGCGGACGCGGCCTCGTGCTGCTTCTGCCGCCTTCCTCCGATTGGACGGGACGCCCTGTCGTTCCGGACACAGGGGGTGTCTCGTGATGAGAGTTCATCCTGTGGCGCATGGCGCGTGGCAGCCGCGTGCTGATATTGCACGGCGTGCGCATCCCCCACGAACGATTGCGCGAACCGCTGCGCACATGGTTCGGGGCCTCCCCTGCCAGGGACCCATCACAGCCCCAATCCGCACCCTGCCGAGCAGGATGCCTCGACGGGCCCTCCTCCGAGCTGACCTCGAGGCCCCCTCCCGCGCAGACCACGTCCAGCCGTGCGGGCAGGGCGCCCCCGGCCTCGAGCTCGCCCTGGAGCCTCCGGCGGGCGGCCGTCCTCTCCGCCTGCTCCGCGGCCTCCTTGGCGCGCTGCCGCAGGGCGGCGATGTCCTGGTCCCACTGGTCGGAGTCCACCTTTCGCTCTCTTGCGCCTCCCCCTCCCGCCTCCCCCCCCCCCCTTCCACCCTCCTTCCCTTCCCCCCCTCCCCCTCCCCCTCCCTCGCCCCCCCTCGCCCCCTCCCCCCCCCTCCTCCCCCCGCCCTCCTTCCCCTCCCTCGCTGCCGCCCCCCCCCTTCACACCCCTTCCCCCCTTCCCACCTCCTTCGCCTCCCTCCTCGCACCCCCCCCTCCCTCCCCCCTCCTTCCCCTGCCCCCCTGATCTCCACGGAAGCATCTAGAAAAACGGGCAGTTTCACTTTCACGCGCACCTTGACTGGACAGGCTTTTGTTTCGAATGGCTCATCCTAAACGCTATTTGTTTGAGAAGAACGATGAACCCTGGGAGGAAGGATTTTTTTCCGAGACAGTGCTTGCACTGAGGGTTCCCTGCTTGCTCTTATTGAACAAGCTGTTGGGTATTATGGGTTTTGCCTCGTGGGCACCCCGTGCGCTGGGGGGAATGTGCCGAGGTTGCGCCTCGTTACCGCCCGTGCCGCCTCGTGGGCGCTCGTGGGCACCTCGTGCACTTGGATTTGATTTCCATCAGTGCAGCTCGACATGAAAGGCGCCAGCTTCCCAACTGATTGAAAAGAGGCTTCACGACGCAAAGAGGTGGCCCCGCAGGAGTGAGGATCTACGCGGAGGTTGCTGCGGTCGGGAATTCTTGCTTGCCTAGCGCTTCTTGGCGGCGGCCCTGGCGGCACGCCATGCCCTGCAAACGGATGGCGTGTCGGTTCGCCTCGCGGAACGGGATTTGGGATACACGCAGAACTTTTGAAACTTTGGCATTGGACGTGGTTCGCGCGCGGCGCCGAGGCGTGGTAGGCCAGAACCGGCGCCGCGACACGCAAAGCAACAGTTCCTGACCAGAAGGGGTGCGGGGGTCAAGAGTGGATGCTAAGGTGGGCGATATATGGCATGACCCAGCTTACAGGTGACTGCAAGTGCCCCAGGTGGCTCCGGGGGCAGACAGCTCCGCCACAGAAGTGGGCGGGCTCACCACGGCCCCGATCTGTACTGCCTTTAGCCGCTCAGGGTGCGGCAGGTTAGGCCATAGACCCTTGCAGCCAGCTTATAGGCCAGCTCCGGCCGAATATAACCCACCCTGACAGTTCGGCCAGCGTTGCCCACACATAAGCCAGCTTCAGCCACTTGAGCCACCCCCCTAATTATCCCCTTACCACCCCTCGCAGTGATCCCAAGAGCCGACCCTGGGCTGTGGTGCCCCCCACCGCTCGCAGATGCACCTCTCTCTCTCTCTATAACACCTGCGCGCACCGCTCGCATCCTCCACGGGACGGGGCACAGACGGCCTCGCCCGCGCTGCGCGCGCGACCGGCCGCACCGGGTGTGCACCAGAGGAGAGTGCACTATCAATGTGGAACCTCCCGCTCCTCCTCCTTCGCCTCCTACACTGCGTTCCCCATTCGCAAGAAGATAGTTTCCCCCGTCCCGGGGGAAATAATGGTGCACCACTTCGCATTGCAGTGTACGTATAATGATGCCCCATCGCTCATTTCCCATATGAACGTTGCCCATCCCAACCCAGGCCGGCATTGTCACTCGCATCCTTGCAAAAATTACAATGCGTTACACACTCGTGCATTTCAAAAGGTTAAGAGTCCAAGATCCCCCTGCGATACAATTGCACAAAGTCCACACATGCGCGCACATGCTGAAATCAGAACACATGTAATTGTTCCGCAAGTATTTCAGCACAACGACAAAAACAAACAAGCGTGTCATCACAAAGACTGCAAGTGTTCAGCCCGCGCGCATTTGCTGAAACCACTTGAAAATAAAACGGCTTTCGCAATATAGTCCAGCAGCCGCATTCTCATCTTCCCCTGCGGCGCATCCACGTTAACCTAGCATGCGCCCAGCGCGGGATCCTGAATCACATAACACCATGCGGCCGCGCACGCGCCGAAACTTGCCCAACTCAATGGCATTTCTAAGAATTTCAGGATTCCCCAAACAGTGCTTGCAATTGGCGTTTCTCCCTTCTTTTTAAAGAGCCGAAGAAGCCCGTCGGTCTAGAAGCTATGTGGTCGCCGTCGCCGCCCCGTCGCTTTGGGCCTTCCCGTCGGTCTGGCGGCTATGTTGCCGCCGTCGCTGCCGAGTCGTTACTTCGCGCTGGTTTGCGTCATTGGCTTGGCATTCCATCTCATTGGTGTGCATTGCTCTCTCTATATCTGTCTCTCTCTCTCTCTCTCTCTTTTTCTGGGCTGGTTTGAACTGTTGATTGCATTGACTTGCACTTGTTTGCGTTGCCTTGTTCTGCGTTGGTTGGCATTGCGCTGCGCAGCTTTCCCCGGAATCATCAGTATCCCCAGGAGACCTACGCATTACGCATGGCTCTGCACCATCGTGCATCGAGGTAGTAATGCGAACTCATACCACCCCGGCCAGGCCGTTCTCACCCCCTCACTCCTGTCAACGAACACTACGGGCGCACACTTGTTTATCAAAACGTAGCAATGTATGGCCCCCGCCGAAAAAAAAACAAAACAAATATTGACACGCGCGCGTCGCCGCGCGCGCATACTGGAACCCTTTTTCCCCAACAACCTTTTAATGCCGTACGGATTTGAATATGATGATGTTTGAGAGTATCTCGTCATTGCAACATTATGTGTTAAGCAAAACTTGCGCGCGCGCTCCCGCGAATTCGTTGGGAAACAACAATTTTTATCACGTGCATCAAATGCGGCCAAGCATTGCGAAATCATCTGGAATTCTTGAGCACTTGCTGGGGGGGGTACGATCCCTGTCAACTAATACCATGCGGGCCGCCCGCGCGCGTCGGCCGCGCGCTCATGGCCAAATCTTCCCCAAACCTTCGTCAGAGATACGAGGCGTGGCCACCATCATCACCGGCGTTACTAGCATTGATGCCGTCATTGGCCTGGCCGTCGTCATCGTCGTCATTGTCACCACCGTTGCTACTATCATCATCGTGTTTCCGTCGTTGACGTCGCCATGATACCGCGCCCGCCCCAGTCACCAATTCGCGCTGAAGTGCCCGCGCGTCAACGCGGCCAGCGACACGCGCTGAAAAGTCCCCAGCGGTCAGCGCCACAGCGGCCGCGTCAAACTAGCAGGCCGCTTTGCGCGCGAGCTTGCGCGCGCTAGCGCGGCCGCGGCGACGCGCCAGCCAGCGCCAAGCAGTCATCGCAATCGCCGCCGCATCAATTGTGCAAACTGGGTGGCGGGTGGGTGGGTGGGATGATTGTGCGAGCAGCGTTTCCAACCATATGAAAAGACGCGGACTTCAACAATATGTCCTCCACGTTTCTTGCATGCCCGCGCGCAGGCAGTTCCTTACCATGGCAGTCGCCAACGCCGACGTATAACCACCGTTATCGTCATCGCCAATCTCAACCATTGCCGCCACCATCCGTCAAGCATCTTCATCACCCTGATCACCGACATCATCACAATCATCGTCGTCACCGGCATCGGCGCGCTGCCGTCGACATCGCCACCATCGACATCACCGTCGTTACTGTTATCATCTTGCTGTTGTCCGCGTCAGGATGTTAACGCGCCCGCCCGAGACACCGACCAGCATTGAGGTGCCCACGCGCCAGAGCGGCCCTTGAGACTCGCTGAGAAGTTCCCATCGATGGGCGTCATGGCGGCCGCATCGGTTGTGCCAAACCCGGCGGCAGCTCTGTGCGCGAGGGTGCGCGTGCCAGCGCGGCTGCAGCGACGCGCCAGCCAGCCAGCGCCAAGCAGTCACTGCACTCGCGGCCGCATGGGAGGGTGGGGTGCCTGCGCGTGTAATGGGGTTAACTGCTCATGATTGCCTCGGTTCATAGTAGCATCCTCGTCGCCCCCTGTCCCGCGTTGGTCCAAGAAACGACCCCCGCTTGCCGAGGCCTCCGCTCGCACCTCCTCCTCCTCCTCCTCCTCCTCCTCCTCCTTCTCTTCGTCGTCCTCCTCCTCCTCCTCCTCCTCCTCCTCCATCTCCTCTTCCTCCCCCTCGTCCTTCCACCATCACCCCCATCTACCACCCTTCGGTTTATACCGCCGTCCGTCCACCAGCCCGAGGAAGTGCGCGAAGCCTTTCTGACACATCACGTACACCCTGGACGCGCCAAGGCAGCCCACTCCCAGGAGGAGGAGCACGAGCATCAGCTTGTGCACGAAAACGAGCACCTGCAGGAATCCGTCGCGGAACTCTGTCCCCTGACCTCATCTCGTCGCGAAAAAAAAAAAAAACACGGCAAAAGATGTTCGCGGAATGTCGGCCTCCCGGGGCCCTCACCAGAAACTCGTTGCGTCCCTGTTTCTGCCCCGTGGCAGACACCAGGAAGTGCCCCCACCCACCGCGGCGATCAGGGGGAAGGACGATACCAGTACCGCCACCAGCCCCTCGTCACCACGGCTGGATTCGCCTCGACATCCTGGTCAGAACGCGCCCCAGGAGATGTCTAGTCAGTAACGGTTCTTGTTGTCCCCCAGTCGATGAGGCCTTCCAATCCAGATTCCCCTCTCTTTTTTAGGATATCTGATTGCTGGGTTGTGTATTGGGACACGGTGGTGGAGCTCCACCCGAAGAGGACTCGTCCAAATTGGTTGGAATCCGTCCCGCATTCTGTCGTGGTCCCCCGCCCCCCCATAACGATGTGGTGGGTGTGGGTGATGGGGGACATCCTGCTGTAATGAACCTTGGGGCACACCCTTCGTCGACTCTACGCTCCGCGGAACGCCCGAGGGCTCCGCGAGCCTAAAGAGAGACTATTAGGAGGGAGAACAACTCAGACACAAAGAATAGTTGACTCCACGGAGACTATGGAAAAAGGAAGTGGAGGGAAAGCCGAACATCCAGGAAATATGGAAAACGTGTGATCCTGCGTTTTTTTTTTTTTTTGTTCTCTCTCTCTCTCTCTCGATGTGCCCCTGGGCCACCCAAGTATCGTGAGGCACCAGATGGCAGGCGAGCCTCTCACTCGGTGTGGCTACTGCATCCCCGAGTGCAGGGGGAGAAAGCAGAACCTGACACGAGCAACCTTTCGTCCAGGATTATCGACGAAAGCAGAATTGAGACACACTCGGACCGATATAGATCGGACATCTCGGAGAAACGGCGAGCTTGGAGGATGTAACGGGGGAGCCGCAGCCGTTTTTGAGCGTTCCGGAACGCTCTGGGCCGATGTATCTCGATTCGAGGCCTGCCTGTCTGGATGAGGGGAGCCCCCGCGAGCACTGGGGTAGGAAGGGGGGGGGGGACGAGGAGGATGATGCGGAATCTTCCCGATCCTGCTGTTCGGGCTGCCCCGCGCCTGCGCGAGGAAGCTCACCATGGCAAAAAGCAGGGCAGCGCCGCGCGCACCGAAAAAAAATATTGAAATGACAAAAACACCGATGGCTGGACCGCGCGGCCGTCCTCGGGCCAACTGTCGAAGGACGACTCTGTCACACGATCTCCCCGATCTCCTCGCCTCTGCCCCCCCGTCCACGACCTTCTCCGTTGTCCATCGTCCCCTCGCTGCTCTCCCACCACCTCCTGCACGGTCTCTTGCTGCCCCTCACCCTGTCCGACCTCCTGTCCCTCGGCGTCCTTGCTCCGCCTTCTCCCTCCTCCCTGTCGCCCTCCACCTCAATCTCCTCCTCCTCCTCCTCCTCCTCGTCCTCCTCCTCCTCCTCCTCCTCCTCCTTACCACCACTCTGGTTCGTGACGAGCCGCAGAACGCGGGAGAGCTCGGCAGGTGCTCAAGCGCACCACGCGCGCACTCGCCCCGGACAAGTGCCCAGAGCTCACTTCGCCTTACCCGTGCGCGAGAGCTCTTGGCTGCGTTCCAGGGGCATGGACAAGGCGTGCGTCGTTTGGACTCCGGGCATCGCATGACCGACGGAAGGGGCCAGACGCGAGAGGCAAATGGGGGCGAAAAATCGCGCCGCATCGCCGATGTATAGGCGACGTCCAGATGGAGAGCCCCGGGCTCCAGATAGCGCCACATCGCCGATGCATCGACGACGCGGCGCCATCCCCCGACCTCATCTACTCCGACCCCATTCGGGAGGCCCAGACAGCGGCCTCAGGCAGTGCCCCACATAGATTCGCCATCGCGGCACATCACGTACGAGGGCATACAAGGCTCCCATGATTGCTACCGAACCCCCTGGTGGTGGTGATCGGTCTAGCTGCCCCGACAATACAATGGACACATGCGATAAGATGTCCTGTCAGAAGGACTGCAGGGGCGTGTCCGCCGCCCGTCTTCACCCTCACAATGCGGCCCCAAGGTCCTTTCTTCTGCGGATTTCAGGGGCCCTCGGGGGATGAGACCCGTGCCCGTCGAGCGCCTCGCAGTCACGGGCCTGTAAACGGCGCATCCGAGAAAACTGCGGCTGTGGATTCTCCGCTCTCTCCAGTCGGATCTGGCAGAGGGCAGACTGGCGATAAGAAGAGGGGGTCAGGACCGACTCGGGGGGGCAAGGGAATCATCGAGATGGAACCGGTGATGCATCGCCAATAGATCTGCGATGGGCCCCGAGAGCAAGTCCGCAAGCTCCTGGGTGGGCGGCGGGTCGGGCTATCAGGCCCCTGCCGGCGACGCATGTGCGATTGGGGGTCGATGCGATCCTCCCTGAGCACCTCCCTAACGCTGCCCCTGGCCAGTGCCCCCGCACCTCCGACGTCGTCATTTTTCCACTGCGCAGCCCCTGGAAGCCCCGACCCCTTCCCTGGGACCAATGGCCCTCGCTCGTTCGTTCGGGGTTTTCGGGCCTCCGTTCGCTCCTGTGCTGCCTGGGATTTTGCGCTTGACTCGAACCAACGTGAAAAACACACTCTCCGGGACAGAAGATCCATCCCAACATATTTTTCAACGCTCCCAGGCGCTGGCGAAGGCCCCTGGAGGCCGTGACATATCAAACACCGTCCGTCGCGATTTGCTCGCGGCGCGCGGGTTGGTCTGGCGCTCAGCGCACGGAGCCTCGCGCAGCGCCCCGCGAGAGGCGGCCGCTCACGCGACGGGGGGATCCAAAGGTGGGGCCCTAAGGTGGGGCCCTGAGGGACGGGGCCCGCAGGATAGGAAAGGCTCAACTTTCACTGCTGGAGGCCACTCTCGGGCGTTGGCAAAACTGGGTTTAGTGGGACCCGGTTCAATGATGTGTACTGGGGGGCGCCCCCCAGTCCCCGTTCCTCTGACCGGAACTGCCGTCACCCGAAAAACACCAGCTACGGCAGACTTGGTTTACACGTCGTTCATTTCTAATCGTGCTGATTTCGAACTAATTGTGCTCTTTCTAACTGTTCCTGGCCCCCCAGTGGCCAAGAGGCCCAGGATAGAACAATTAGAAATGAAAGGATCTTGGCCCCCACAAAATCAAAGAACAATGGAAGAATTAGACATGAAACATGTGTAGTGATTCTGGCCAATTTAGGGGCTCTGGGGCCCTACTACTGAACAGGTCCCCTTACCTGTGGTCCCGGCTATACCTGGCACTCGTCCTTGAAGGCCACGCTCCTCGGGGCCCCATCTTGAGCCAGTCCTTGGTTATTCGCGGTAACGCCCCTGGCTAAAACCGCCCGCTGTGAATGAGCCATTCTTGAGCACTCCCATACGGCGCCAGGGCAAGCGTGACGTGACCGGCCCCCTCCCCCCCCCCTCCCCCCCCTGTCACGCCCGTTTTGGCCAGGGGCCGAGACAGCTGCCTCCTTCAGACCGCCGACAGAAAGGGGTGCGGTCCTGGATGGAGGGAAGCGGGTCCAGCCGGCCTCTCGAGCCTTCGCCGGCGGCGGGTGGAGGGGAGGCGCGAAGGGCGGAAAAGCCAACGGGGGGGAGATGGCGGACGAGGAGCCGTAGCGGGAGCGGGCGCAGGAGAAAAAGCATGAGGATGATGCTGCTGATGATGAAGAGGATACAGTTGCTGATGATGGTGATGACGACGACGACGATGATGATGATGACGGTGAGGATGATGATGATGATGATGATGATGATGGTGATGATGACGATGATGATGATGATGATGATGATGATGATGATGATGATGGTGATGATGCTAATGCTGATGCTGATGCTGATGCTGATGCTGATGCTGATGCTGCTGATGACGATGATGATGATGATGATGATGATGATGATGCGAATGATGATGTTGATGACGGCGGTGATGATGACGCGGATTATGATGATGACGGCGATGATGATGACGGCGATGAGGATGATGATAATGATGATGGTGATGATGATACTGTTGATGATGATACTGATGATGGTGCTGATGATGGTGCTGATGATGATGATGATGATGATGATGATGATGATGATGATGGCAGTGATGATGATAGTGATGCTGCTGATGATGACGACGATGGTGAACATGATATTCATGACGCTGACGACGATAATGGTTGTGGTGGTAGTGAGGATGTTGGCGCTGCTGCTGATGGTCATTGGGAATGGTGAAGATGATGCTGAGGGTGATGATGATGGTGGTACAGTGAAGGAGAAAGACAAGTAGGAGGAGGAGTTCGGGTACCCTGGGGACCGCGGGTCTTCCGATTGCGCCGCACCGTAGGCACCGACTAGCGTCAGACGAGAGCGCGGGCAACTACGAAAGCCCAGGCGATGCCTTCGGCAGTCGTCGCGGACTGCTGCTTTAACTGATTGTTAGTATGCAGCGCTAGGGTAATGGAGGAGAGGAAGGTCAGGAAACCAGAGGAGGCTCAGGAGGCGAGAACAGGAGAGGTAAGGGGGAAAGCGTCCGCGGCATGTGGGCAGCCGGATACACACGTTCGCGGCGCCAGGAGGTGCATGCGGGCGGTTGTGGCACACCCTCCGCTGAGAGTCTAAAAGACAGCCCAACGCCATCTCGGACGGAATCCCAACGCAGCGACCCCTAGCGCTTGGAGAGCTCGTCGGAAGGCGGCACCTGCAGGCCCCTAGAGGCGACGTGAAGCATGCCGCACGACATGATCCAGCAATAGATCTCTGCACGCGGGCACGGCGCTGCGGGGCAGCGGCTCGCTAGGAGTGCAGAGCGACCACCTGGGCAGGGACGATGCCGCAGCGCTGGCCAGAACATAAGTTTAAGCAGTACGGCCCAAGGGGGAGGAGGAGGAGGAGGAGGAGGAGGAGGAGGAGGAGGAGGAGGAGGACAGTCAAGCTTCGATGTTTGGCACGCACAGCCTCGGACACAGCCAGGCAGTAACGTTTTGGCGACAGCCACATTTTCAGTACACATCGACGGCTGCACGCTCCCAGCCCCAGTGTACGAGCAGCGCCTCAACAGTCTTGTTCATTCGCGCACTTCGCACGCTGTTACCCTCCCACGCTACTCGATCCTTTCGTGCATGGCAAAAAAAACGCGTGTCTCTCTTCCTTCCTCTTCCAGGGAGCGGGAGGGAGGAGCGGGAGCGACACTAGCAAGCAAGGGAAGGGCCGACAAGAGAAGGAAGATGACCAGACCAACGAGGACAGAGACAAACAATGACAAAAAAGGATCAGTACGCCGTCCCTCAAGCGGGCTACCCCGACATCGGACAGCGAGGCCAACAGCATGGATGGACGAGAGGTGCGCAGACATCCGAGGTTGCAACATGGCTCTCTAGAGGCCAGGACCCCTTCTATGCGACCAGCTTATCGTCCTCAGTAGCGGTTTTCCTTGACGTTTCTGGGGCACGGTGCGGGTCCCCACGAGCCTAGATGTTCTACAAAAAAACGCTGGGAGCGTTTTTTTCGTTTTCCAAATCGACGTTTTCTTTCCGATATGATTGCCGTTTTCTTTCTGTTTTGTGGAATTTGAAGCCGCAATGTTCTTTCAATGTTGAGCTCCGTTTTCATGTGTTTTCGGTGACTTTTTTGTCCCCGTTTTCAAGTCCGGAAACGGACTGCGCCTAGCCGCGCCGTGTTCTTAACAATTTCCGGCACGTGTCCAATACTTTTTTTCAGCAAGCCCACAAACGCCGATCATGTTTGAGACGCTTCGACACATGAAGAATGTCATCGGGGACGCACTGACGGGTCAGTGCAGACCTGGGTCTATCAGGCCTTGCAAGATCTTGCAACATCCTGCAGGATCCTTTTCGCTAGCCCAAGTCCAGGCACTCCCGTCTGTGCAAGATTCTACAAAATCCAATGCTCTGGCTGATCCCCGTCCGCATTGACCCGTCTCAACGCTCCCGATGCCAGGAGAAAATGAACGAGCCTGTCCGAGGGCCCACCGTGCGTCAGTCCGCCGCGCGCGGTATGGGCACCGCAGGCCATCCGAGGACGGCACCGGTGCGGGCAAGACTTCTGCCCATATCCACTGCAGCGTGGAATTGCGGGCTCCCTTCCCAAGGAAACCGAGG